CTAGAGTGCAAATATAAAAGATGCAGTATAACCAAAATGAGCAGGGCAGTATTGGGCAATCAAAAGACAGGCTGGATGTGGATTTAAGTTGATGTACATCCTTGACTTCCCCCAGTCTGCCCCTCATTCCCAGTCTCTTTGGAGAAGGGAGGAGAATGAACTTGGGGATGGCAGGTCTTTGGGGATCAAGATAGAGAGGGACACCAAGCTCTCTATGCCCACTCTCCAGGGAGGGGGTGGTAGATGCTGGAGGCACATAAGCCTTCCACACCCATGCAGGCAAGCATAACTCTCCTGTTCAGGCAGGAATCCTTGGGTGCTGAGAGGACAGCGTCTCATAGCTTGCCATCAGTGGAGGAGGTTCCCAGGAAGTTTATTCTCTTTAGTGCTGAAGGAGTGGGAGGATAGAAGAAAATCTGGAGGGGCAGTTCAGCTAATTAAAAAGGGATTAAGGAATCCCAGGTGATGCTGAGGGTGGGGGAGAGTGTGGATGGGGTTGAGTTATAGCCCCACTATTGCCATGGCAACTGATAAATAAATCCTCCCAGATTGGGGGTTGCTGCCTCTTCATGCCCAGGCAAGACTGTTGTGAGACTGAAGAGCCCCAAGAACCTGTCCTTCATCTCTTCTCTCTTCTATCACCCCTCTTCCAGCTTGAAATGAGGGGCTGAGAACAGGAACATTTCTTATCTTCATTTTGACCTCTCCACTTCCTCATGTTACATAAAATAGATCTGGTCATTTTCAATTACTTGGGTCCCATCAGCACTTCCTTCCCAGCTGTGAACAGCTCCATTCAAAGCCAAATAGAATAAGAATTTTGAAAAAAAAAAAAAAAAAGAATTTTGAGAAATTGTTCAGCTGGTGGCATCTGTGCTTATTTCCCCCTACCCAAACATCTTTGTCTAGCACCTAACCTCTGCATCTACCCTGGCCCCATCATATGTCCTCAGCCTTGACTGTACTTTGTTTCTCTGTATTGTAGACCCCTGGGGAAGACCTTTCTCAAGAGAAAGCCAGCAGGGTTATCTCAGGGAGGACTTAGACCAGAGATCCCCACTCGAAGCTCCTTGTACTGACCTTCACTGTCTTTCAAAAGCAAGAAAATTGCCTTTAGATCTGTGTGGTGTTTAGATCAGGTATAGAATTTGACACAGGCTTCCCTGCCGCTACAACATTGAAGCCCATCTTAAACCTCTTATCCTTCCTTTTTCACCCAGGAGTTTTTGTCAAAAATGGAAAATTGGTATCCTTGGGCTGTCTTGATGCTAGGTTTTCAAGGGGCCGACAGCTTTCCCGATCTCACTCTTACCCCTCTCGTCCCCCCACAGCTGCTGGAATACTTGGGCAAGGGCAAGAGCATTGTTGATGTGGGACTGGCCCAGGCCCGGCATCCGCTGAGCACTCGCAGTCACTACTTCGAGGTGGAGATTGTGGACCCTGGAGAGAAATGCTACATCGCGTTGGGGCTGGCTCGGAAGGTGGGATTGGTGCTAATGGAGCTGTACCACTGTGCGGTTGTTGGGATGTGGCTGGGGAGGTTGAGTGGAGCTGGAAGCCCCATGGGGGAAGATTTCAGTCTGAGACAAGCCCCAGTTGTCCATATGGCTGTAAGAGTGCTGGCACAGGGGCCTGAGAGTGTGCTCACATGCTGGGGCCTGGCTGGGATGGGGGCAGCCTTGGAAGCTAGGCACCTTTCTCACTTCCCTGATTCCCCATCAGCCCCACGTACCTGTAGGCCCAGGGGTCCCACAGGTTGTGGGGGGAAGACTTCTCAGGTTGTGGTGTACTCTAAAGGATGGGGGATTCAGAATCCCTTATTTCCTTTTATTTCTGTGCATAGTACCATAGATTTACTTTTTTTCTTGGTACAGGATTATCCCAAGAACAGGCATCCTGGATGGAGCCGAGGGTCCGTGGCCTATCATGCTGGTGAGCAGAGGACAGCTTTCCTGTGCAGACGGCCCTGGGGAGGCAGGGGTGGGAGGTGGAAGCAGAATTGTTCTGATCCCCTCACACTGACCTCTGCACCAGCATCTGGCAGGAGCATCTTCTGCTGCTATCTCACCACCCCTGTCCAAGCCATTATTGCTTTCTCCTTTTCTGTATTTTTCCTCCTGGCCCTGGAAGCCGGGGGAGCAGGACAGGGGTGGGAGACCTGGGCCTGCACCGGACATTCCAGGGCCCTGAGTTGGCTCCTTCTGCACCTTTCCTGCAAGTCCTTCAGAATCTACGTTTTCTGCTTTGGGTCTGTGTGTTTCCCTTAGGCTTTTCTTTTTCTTTTTTTTTTGGTATAACAATTGACATGTTTTTGTTTTTTTAAATTAAATTTTATTAATTTTAATGAACATTTACAGGCCTTTTCTTTAGAACAGGACCAGACCTCCTGTTCTGAGTTCCTGGTCCCCTTCCCTGCCCCCACACCTGCTTATCAGAGGCCTCCCTCCTGACTTATCTCTTCAGAACAGTTCCCCCTGGGAGTTTCCCCTCAGACTTTGTAGTTTGTTATTGATCTTTTTTTTTTTTTTAAATTACTGATGCCCTGTTCTCACCCTTGTCTATCTTGTTTAGTTTGTCTCCCCACTTCTAGCTCCCTCTGAGAGGGCCAGAGATAGAGGTGGGAAGGCATTGAAGCAGGGCTCACTCTTGGGAGTGTTGGGTATCAGCACTTTAAGTGTATGTCTCTCCCTTTCCCACAACAGATGATGGCAAGATCTTCCATGGCAGTGGTGTAGGGGACCCCTTTGGACCCCGCTGTTACAAAGGGGACATTATGGGCTGTGGAATCATGTTCCCCCGAGACTACATTCTGGACAGCGAGGGTAAGTGGATTGAGTGACCAGCAAGGCTGGTCAGGGCAAGGGTTGCTAGGTTGGGGGAGCACAAATGGAACTGAGGTCTCCTCATCCTCCTAGGTGACAGTGATGACAGTTGTGACACAGTGATCCTGTCCCCAACTGCTCGGGCTGTCCGGAACGTCCGGAATGTCATGTACCTGCACCAGGAGGGAGAGGAGGAAGAGGAGGAAGAGGAAGAAGATGGAGAAGAACTCGAGCAAGAGCATGAGGGCAAGAAGGTGGTGGTGAGTCGGGGAGAGGGGCTGGGCTGGGACTCTGAGGTGTGGGTGAGGGCCACAGGGAAGGGGAAGTGTGAGCAGGGGCAGGAGAAGGCAAAATCTGGCAGTGTAAGGGGCTGTTCTGCACCACTGAGCTGTTGAAATGGTGGGACTAGTGGGACGAAGCTGCTTTCCAGCCTTAAGACACCCTCTTGTGGTCACTTCCTGTATCACATTAAGTCCTCAAATCTGTGATGGGACTTGGGAATGGTTGGAGTTCAGGTCTCTATAGCTCCAGAATCCTCAGAGAAGAGGCCAGAGCCTACCTGCTGTACAATCCTCCCTGTCCCTACTTCCAGGTTTTCTTCACTCGGAATGGCAAGATCATCGGGAAGAAGGATGCTGTTGTACCTTCTGGGGGCTTTTTCCCCACCATTGGAATGCTGAGTTGTGGGGAGAAAGTCAAAGTGGACCTGCATCCCTTGAGTGGCTAGGGACTCTTCCCAGGCCCTGTCCCTTCTCCCTCTGCTCACCCTTTGCAGGACCAAGCGCCCAGTTCCTGACATGCGTAAGGATGTGCTTCTCCGTTAGGCCCTGGGGGCTGCTTAGGCATCCTGCCTCCTGCCATGTTAGCCCCTGTACCCATCTCTGACCTGGTGCTGCTCCTATAACAGTCTCTAGGCCTGAGTCCTACTTGGACAGGAAGAGACCCCAGCAATGGTATTGAGTGGACCAGTGGGTTCCCAGACCCCATTCTGCACTGGCTTCATGTGAGTAGAGAGGAGCAAGCACCCCATTTTTTTGGCTGCTATTTGGGCATGCGCCTTTGCAAAGGCCCAGGGTAGAGCTATCCCTTCCCCTTACCACAGTATTTCTCCTTATGTTATCCTCTTTCAACTTCCCCATCTGCATCGTGTGAACCAGTTGCTGCTGTCATCCCCCCTGGCTGGGCTGGGGGGCTCTCTGGGGCCCATCTCTGTTTTACTGGCTGCTGTCCCAAGAAGACTCCTCTGGTGTCTCCGTTCTCTCCCCAAGAGCTGACTTTTCTCCTTGGTGCCTGCTTAGGCCCTGCTGTCCCACAGAGAAGTCAGAGTCTCCCTGCCCCTTGGTTCCTTGTGCACACATAGAAGGGTTCACATTTCATGCTAAAGCAAGGGCTTAAAGTCCAGGGGAGCTAGGACCTTTGCTCCTGTCTTCCCCTTCCCATTCTTTGCTCATCTGTGACACCCTTGTCCCTCAATTCCTGGGATGAGGCTGAAGCCCTGGAGCATATCTTTCCTGCTGTGGAGAGGGCAAGGTCTCAGATCCTTCACCCTGAGGGATAGCTTGGTCCCTTCTAGCCCTTACCTGCCACCCTGGCCAACCCCCCATAATCCCAGCTTGCTGCTTGTTCCAGTTACCTGTTTTGCTTCAGTGTTTGATTCTAGCATTTCCATGTGTTCTCCCCCACCAAGCCCTCCTATTTATTCCTTCCCACTTAACTCAGTCCCCTCCCCAGTGACATCTCCTGGGAGGAAGAGGAAGCAGGAGCCAGTGGCCTTGGTTTGCACAAAAGTGGGTAGGGCTTTGGGGCAAGTAGGTGAATTGTCATGCTGCTGAGGTCTCTCCTTGGCCCTCCGTTCAGGCCCTGCACTATGATGTATGAAATGTATGTACAGACCAGATGTTTATACAGCCAATAAAGATGGAGTTTCCATATTTATCAGAATGATTGTGACAGAAGATTTCTTTCCCAGTTAGAGGGCAAGAGACAGGGCTGGGTGGTTAGGACAGCTGAAGGCAGCTTGTTTACAGTGGGCATGTGGACAAATGGTAGGTCAGGATGGGATCACATGTTCTAGGGACCTGGCTTTGGGCCTTTGATTAGGGTGTCCCCAAAAAGCACGTGTGCTCCCAGGAAACATGAGTCTTCCTGTAAATACCAAGGCATGACTCCAATGCTGACTAAAATTTATAGAAATTCTTTATTATTAGACAAAAATAGACTCTTTTTTATAAAACCCCTCTTTATGTGATCCCACTCAGGTCTCTCTGTTCAGGGGGGAGGCCAAGAAGGGAGCAACTCGCTCCCTACCCACCTCCCCTCTCCCCTCTCGCTGCCGTCCTGGGACCTACAGCTGGGTGGAGCTGGCAGGGCCTGATTCTCCTCCAAGGCTGGTGTTCTTGTGCAGCCGGGGCCAACCTCATCCCCACCAGGGCTCAACTTCTGATGCTTCTTCACCCTCACACGTCTGCCTCTGCCATCTGCTCACGTGCAAGGCCATCCCATGGGTCCATCCACTTAGCTTAGCAGGCTGGGGTCAGGAAAGAGCAGTGTGCCAGGCTAAGGCCTACTCCCCATTCCTAAGGGAAGGGGACCCAAGAGGGAGTGAGAGCTGTGGGGTGCCGGGAGGGGATGCAGTGTTGATGTGGGCTCTTCGAGCTGGGCCTGCCTTCACTTTCTGTGGCCCAGTAGAACTTTGGTGATGAAGCTGACAATGGCGCCTGCAGGCTGATCTGGGTCAAGTTCTGCGAAGAGGTGACACACATTCTCCCAGGGGCTCCCCGGCTTCTTGGCCACGAAACCAAAGATCCTAGGGGTACAGAGAGTCAGGGGAGGGAGTGGGCCCAGCACCTCTTCTACAGGGAATGCAGAGAACTGGGCGGGATGTCCCAAATGCCAGGGTTGGGGAGAATGGGGTATCTGGGTCCCTGGGAAGGAAGAAATAGAACTCATTGGGGAGGGAGGCTTACTTGGAGGTGGTCCCGTCAAGGTTGGTCCATCTGCAGAAGGAGAGGAACCGTGAAGGTGTGTACCCTGGGGAACCTAGGGCTGGGGACTATTGAATATGAGGGGCTTCATGGGACCACTGGGCCATGAGAGGAGAGGGTGAGGAAGAAGGATCACCTCCGGTCCTGAGGGTCAGTGCTGGAGAAGGTGATGCTATTCACTGGATAGTGGCGACGAAAAAACACTCTGCACGAAGGAGAGGGAAGGTCATACTCAGAAATCAGGGAACTCAGGGGCCCAAGCATGGGGTTTCATGGCCTGGTCAGCTGACTCACTTCCTTTGGTTGTCTGTCAGTGTAATGCCCTGGGCGGTGACCTTGAAGTGGACAACCGCAGGTGTAGGGCGGGGGCTGCAGCTCAGAGCTGCAGAGCTGGCTCGGGCCACAGCTTGAGGGCCTGTCAGTGACTCAGTCTCCACGGAGGTCAGGTAGAGCACGCTGCAAGCTGCAGGGGCAGGATGTGGATGGGAAAGAGAGAGTCACATCTCCCTCTCCTTTCCAAGCCTCTTGTACTTTTCCTAGTTAGTCCTACTCAGTGCACTGGAATCACACCCATAATCTGTTAAGGAGAGGACTTCCATGACTCCACCTAAACTAGATCAGTAACTTTAGAAAAGGGGCCTGAAAAGCTGAGTCCCCACAACTTGCCAGCTTTCTCACACTCCAGACACGGAGGACCCCCTTCATCAACTCATATCATATGGGGCTCCCTTGCCTTCAATGGGCCAAATGGCTCCTTCAGAGTCTACCCACCTCAAGCCCTTTCACAAGGCCCCATGCCCTGTATTTGCAAGGCCCCGTGATGCCCAGGGGTAGGAAGGAAGGAAGGAAGCAAGGAAGGAAGGAGAGGTCTACCAGCGCCCTGACGTAAGAGGTCTGCGGCTGTGCTCATGTTGGTAGGCACTGGAGTCTCAGGGGCATCTTCCAGAGGATCTGGAGGAAGTGAGGGCCAGTCCGGCTCAGTCAGAAAGGAGTAACATCCTCTAGGAACTGGAGTACTTCCCTCTGCCTCCCCCAAGGAAAACTAGCTGGAAAGCGGATAAGGAGAATCAGAGAGGGCAGATTTCAAGTACTGACCTTTACTGGGAATGCGCAGACAGCAGGGCAAGGAGATGGGGGAGATGGAGTGCTGGGAGACCAGGGCAGACAGGCTGCCTGCAGGGGAGGAGGTGAGAAAAGCTCAGTGAGATTCCTACATCTCCAAGCTTCCTGCCCAGCCTCTTGCAACTCTTTGGCCTCTACCAAAACTCAAGCCAATTGTAACCTCCTTCCAGCCCTTTTTACCAAAGTGGGGTTCACTGGGACAGCCCTTGATCTTCACTCCTTTCGGCCCTGTCTCAATGAGGAAATGGCGGACCAGCTGTTCCAAGGGATCCCCTGAGAGGAGAGTGAGATTTTATCAGATTCCATACTCCCTAATTTTTCCTCCACAGTCTTTTCCAGAGCAGAGGTCATTTCCTGCCTCTCACTACTAAACCCCAGTTTCTTAGGCTGCAAACAGCAAAGCTGGTGGTTTAGGTCTATGTGCTGCTCTTCAGGAGAAAGCTGGGCAGTCTTGACCCATAAAGATTTAACTAACTCATCTAGTTGAAACAAAGTTAGAGTTTCAACCATCCAGCAGGTTTTTAGAGGCTGTAAATCGCCTGGAAGTAGACTGCCCATCTTTCCTTCACAGAGCTACTGATGGATTCGAACTGCCTTCATGACAGGCTTCCATGAGTCAGTATAGATGGGACAGTAGTAGGTTTGCCTTTCTTTTTCCTTTCTTCTCCCAGCTCCACAGCCCTGTCCTTCAGTGTTCAGAGCGCTCTGTACCTTTCCAGGGCTGGGCACTTGGTGGAGGTGTAGCCACCTTGAGGGCCAGTCCGTAAGCCCCTTGGAATGAATGACTGTCCCTGATCAGGAAGGCCCCAGGCTCCTTGTCTTTCAGCAGGGTGATGGCTAGGGGTTGAGGGGAAGAAAAGTTTTCAGTGGCTGAACAAGCCCCACCCCAACTCATACCCACCAAGTCCCACTCTTGTGCTAACTAGGCTCCCTCTTGCCCTGACAGCTGTGGTGTTGGGGACAGAACTTAAGAATTATCAGGGACTCGGGTGGTGTTGAATCTAACCTCCTTAGGCCCAAAGCCCAAGATCACCTGTTCAAGTGAGGTTCAGTCCAGGCTCCCCTCACTGGAAGCAGGCAGTAATGCCACAGGCATTGGGTCAAAGGGATGAAGCTCAAAAGTCAAGACAAATCCAGACAGAGCGGGTAAGTGGGGAGACAGGCTGGGCCCTCACCTTGATCGCGGGAGAGGTGTGGCTTGTACCAGAACTTGGATGTATCCTGGACGAACTTGACATTACTTTGGCTCTCTTGTGTCGAGGACTCTAGACAGGGAGGGACCGAGCTCATGCCATGCCCTGCTCCACAGGAAAAAGCAGGGTTTCCCAAAGTTGCCTTCTGCCTTCTCATGGCCTTTATACCTGGTATGTGGGGGGCGTTATCAGGGAGCAGAGGTGCGAAGGTGACATGATGACTGGTGCCCCTGGCTGGCGATGAGGCTTGCTCTGCGTCCCAGGGCCCTGGCTGCTGCCCAGGCCCCAGCAGGTGGCGTTTCTCTGGCAGTGGGGGCTGGGCAGGGCTGCTGGTGTCATAGGACACAGGCAGGGGGAAAGCAGGGGTGGGTGAGCTCTGAGGTGGTTCTGGGCTGGCCATAAGCCAGGGCATCTGGGCAGGCACAGGGGTCAGAGGAGACCCATCTGGACTATCTGGAGGGCCTCGAGGGCCCTGCCAGGGGGCGTGGCGAAGGCCTGGCAGCGTGGCGGGCACTGGCCCCCGTGGACTGGCATTCTCTGTGCGGCCCCCTGGACTTCTTTCCTGAGGCCAGTCATTGGGTGAACTGGGAGGGGAGGTCAGAGAGAAGGGGCGGGGGGCTGGAGGCTCAGGCCCACTTCTGGCTGGCAGCTCAGGAGCCTTTTCAGCGCATTCCTGGGATGCAGCAGATGACGCCTCAGTAGGACTCAGTCTCTGAGTCGATGCCAAGGGGGTTGCCAAGGTGGGAGACCGGGTATCCTGGTGTCGGGTACTGCGGGGTGAGAGGACAGGTGGTAATCAGGGCTGCAGAGCCTGATGGGAGCCGGCCACTTGCATCTGAGCCTTTGGCACCAGCACCCCTTGACATACCTTTCCTTGCCCTGGACTGGGCTGCTGGTGTGAAGTGGTGTAGAGGGAGCAGACAGCTCTGAGGTGGCACTGCACTGGGGATCTCGGGGAGAGCGAGGCAGCGTGCTGTGGCCACTGGGGCCCTCCCTCCAGGACACTGTCTCAGGTGACTCTGCAGCGGAGACAGAGCAAAGCTCTAAGCCAGGAGCAGGAATACCACTTCCCTCTGCCCACCATTTCCCAGAGCCCTCCTGTGCCCTGGACCCTCACCACCCAGTGCCTCTCACCTGTAGATGCCAAGGGGCCAGCTGGGGCCAGGTGTCCAGGCAGGGGATACCTGTCCCCTCCCTCCTCCGCGGGGATCTCATAGCTCAGCTTTCTGGACTGTGGATAAGGTGGGCTTCCCGGGGAAATGGAGCCAGCACGTGGGGAGTGGGCACCAGGGTTAGGATACCCTCTGCCCTCATCTGGAGACCCACAGTTGTGAGGCACACGGCCGTACGCTGGGCAGTAACTGGGAACTGCTCCTCCATAGCCGTACGGCACCAGGGCAGGGTACCCGGGACGCCCATACCTGCTTTCTGGGCACAGCGTGTAGGAACAATTCTCATGCCCCTCCTCGCTTGCCTTGGGGGCCTTGAGGCAGCTGTAGTCAGGAACTGGGGCATGGTGGTGCCCACAAGCAGGCACCAGTAAGGGTAGGGGGTGCCCTGGCCGCACTGAGTGCAAAAGAGGCTTGCCAGTGTCACCTACCCACCCTTCTCCAGCCTCCCTCTCCAGCCGCAGCCCATAAAGGGCAGCTGTGGGCAGTGCCAGCTTCTCCTCACAGGCTGGGCAAGGGCACAAGGCAGGCAGTCCAGGATCTTCCAGGATTACCACCTCCCGGTAGCCTGGAGAGCGGTAGCCGAAGTCTGCAGTGGCTGGTTTGCCCAACTCCGGCTGGTATGGATATGGCCCCTCAGACAGAGATCGGCAGAGACGCCTCTTCTCCACAGAGGCCTCAGCATAGCCCTGTGGGGGCCCCTCATAGGCCCCGCAGGCCAGGCGTCGCCTCTCCAAGGTTCCCTCTGGTCGGTAGTAGCCCCCATTGGGGGCCCCACAGGGCTCCCGGTAGCCTTGGCGACAGGAGCAGTGGCGACTGAGGCCAGGCCTGAGGCCTGAATATAGCCCGAGGTGGGGGCCTCCGCCTGTGGGGGGCTGCTCCTCGTCGTCTAGGATGGCTGTCTCTCGTCCAGCTCCCCGGCCTCCACTGGACACTCCACAGCCTCCCAGGAGGCGATCGAGCTCCTGCCGCTCAGCGGCTGTTGGTGGCGGCCGGCCTGGAGACTCGGCAGCAGGCTCTGTGGTCAGCGTGGATGAATGGCCAGAGTCACTGCTGACAGAGAGCATGGGGGGTGGAGGTGGATCCGGAGAGGGTGCTGGTGGGGTCTGTCGGGGGGGCCTCTGCACCTGGGCATAGGGACTGCCATCCAGGGGACCCCTGGTGTGGGTCAGGGAGCCTGGGTGGAGAAGAGGATCCAGGAGGGAAACAGGGAAGAGGGGAAAAGAGAGTGTGAGAGACAGATCTGGGAACTCCAGTTAAGGGCCTTGGTGGGGATTGGAGGGTGGTGGTGTGAGGGTGGAAATGGGGATTGTGGGTCAGGGACTTGCCTGGGCTCCCTCCCTCCCACCATGCGGCACCTCCTCCCACTCTGGACCTTCCCCACACACCGTCCACACTGTCCTCATGGTGCTGGTTGAAGTTCTCATAGGAATCCCAGCGGACGGCAGGCTCCGCGGTGTTGTAGTCAACAGAGACAGAGGGGTCATTCCGTGGAGTGCTGCCTGTACAAAGGCCATCCAAGCGATGAGGTGCAGTGGGGTGCACACCTCTCGGCCCTCCCCCCAAGGCCCTGTTCTTACCTTTGATCTTCTCAGGGCTAGAGGAGAAGACAAACTCCACCGAAGCTTGAAAGGGGAACTTCTCATCTGTAGAGAGTAGACAGTGAGGACCAGGCACCCGGCCTGTCCTATGCTTTCCTGTCTGCCCATCCGAACCCGCAACCACCTGCCCCTCATTGGGCTCTAGCCCCCTTCAACCTGCCCTGACTCACCCATCCAGGCCTCGTCCAGCTGGTCTTTACTGAAGGTGAGCAGCGATGCATGGATGGTGCACGTGTGGAACTGGACACGGAACACGAGTATGCGGTCAGTCCCTCGGCCACCCTTGTGGTAGCATGTCACCTGGTTGAAGGGAGGGAGGTCAGGGGGTCAGGCTCTCATATCATTTATCTGCCTCTACCTTAGGCGCTCTGGTGGCCTAGTGGTTAAGAAACTGCACTGCAATCCTGAAAGCATGACGTTTCAATCCACCAGCTGCTCTGCGGGAGAAGGGCAGGCAATCCTTTCCTGTGCGATTAACTGCCTCTGAAAACCCACTGGAGGGTCAGCTGTGGGTCAGTTCCTACTCAATGGTACTCAACCACAACAACCACCAGCACCTTGGGGCCAGCTACTAGCCTACTTCAACCTCCAGGTGACACCTCCACCCCCAACTCCATCTAGGAGTCTCCATTTCCACCCTTGAACTTATCATGCACCAGAAGACTGCAGCAGGCAGGATCCATCCCCACCACACCCCTCATCCCATCGCCTGGACTCTTCTTGTTGCTAGGACAACCCCCCCCCACACCCCTCTTACCATGACATCGCCTTTGAGGAGGAGGGCTGGCTCCAGGCTGATGCAAAGCTGCTGGGGACCAGGGCCTGCAACACAACTGTGGGGGAGAGAGAGGGCAGAGTAGCATCAAGGGCACTTTGGCTCAGAAGTGGGCCCATTGCACAATTAGGGAACAACTGAGTCCCAAGTGAGACACTTTAACTGAGCCTCAGCTCTTCCATCTGTAAAATGGTTTCTATGATGTTAATTTTTCAGGTGTAGTGACTACAGCTGGAGGTCCAGGTATCTAGGGAGGCTGGAGAAGGAAAAATCTAGAAAGTGAGGGTGCTGAGGAACTAGTCTAGTCAGGGAGGAGTCAGGAGACTAGGACAGGACACTCACTAGACTCCAGAGGTGTAGACAAGCTGCATAGACTGGTAGATTTTGAGGAAAGGCTGGAAGCCTGCAGGGCAGGGAGGAGATGGTACATGATGAGGGTTACGGAGTAAAGTCAGGTGGGAGAGTAACCCTCCCCAAAGCACAGCTTGGCAGCCTCTCACCTATGCCAGGTTCAAAGGCTGGCAGCATGGGCACAAGCACATAGTGCAGGAAGAGAGGACTGCTGTTCATTCTGATGGATCCAGACAGGAGACCGCTGAAGTAGCTGATGTACCTGGGGATGGGGAAGAAGCATCAAGAAAAATATAAGCCTCTTTCCCAAAGACTCCCTCTCACCATTTCAGTTTTTTCTGTCACTCACTCTGGGAAGGACTGCTCTTCTCAGAACGTCCCTCCTAGTTCCCAGCCATCAGCAAGTTCTTCCTTGCATCTAACTTTGATTCCCTGAAGGTTTTATACTTCCTGCAGCTGTCTAGAATGCTTTTTTGCCTCAGATCTCTTCTCTGACAGACTTTGTTTTCTTTACGCCACTTATTGTCCAAAAGGATCTCTATTTAGTCACACGTTTCTTGTCTTCCGTTCTGTGAATGGAGTGAGCCTAGTTCTGCATTCTCAGTAGCTGGTGCAGCACCTAGCACACAGGAGGTGCTCAATGAAGGCATATGGTATGGATGGGAGAATCAGGGCCTTCACAGTTACCAGAGAGCTGCTCCTCCTACCATCCCCAGTCTAGGCTGCTCACCGGCGCTGGGAGGGCTGCAGCTCCGCGGCCACCTTGTCCTCACAGAACTTCCGCATAGTAAGTGTCGCCAGTGCCTGGTCCGCCCTGAGGAGACCAGGATAGTATGGAGGGTTAAGGGCAGGCCTTCCACACCTGAGCACTAGAGCAGAGGAGAAGTGTGATCCCTCTAGCTCTTAGAGGAAGCCTAAGGTGGTGGTAAAATGATCTAAAAGCCCCACATACAGTCACTTTATGAGTTGTTGCACCTCAGACAACAGTTCCCTGAGCTTGGGTTGCCTCATCTGTAAAATGAAGCCAGAAGACCATCTGCTCAGGACTGAGGTCAGACGTGAGTGAGAAAATGGAGATGAAAATGTCAGGTTTACATTATAGGGCTGAGTAAACAGGGGGCCTTCTGGGGAGATGGTGTCCTGCCTGAGGGGCCAGCTGGAAGAAGAGGCCGATCAGGTGGGAGGGGAGCCTCACCCAGCAGAGATCTTGCTGTAGTGCATGTATGCAGACACGATGACCCCAAGCTTTCCCTTGCTCCCCTGAGGACAAAGAAATGGGAATAAACGGTCTGCTGAGGCCATCGGCTGTGGGCACCCAAATCTCACGCCCCTCAAGGGCCCTGCCCACCTTGCAGTACAGCACAACCACATGCTGTGGGTCCGCGCTGAGCCACGTCTCCATGGCCTTGCAGATGGAGCACAGCTTGTCCAGGGGTGGGGCGTGCAGTTCAGGCCAGCCGAAGTCTTGGACCTTGGGGGCAAAAGAGGGTGACGAGAGGAGGGGGTCACAGAAGAAGAGAGATGGCTAGGGGTAGATTTGGGATTGTTGCTGGGTGCCATAGGGTCAGAACTGATCCATACCTGACCCTCAGTGGGTTTTCAGAGGCAGTTAATCACATGAGAGGAGACTGCCCATCTTTTTCTCAAAGAGCAACTGGTGGATTTGAACCATGTACCTTTGAGTTGCCAGTGCAACTCCTTACCACTAGGCCACCAGAGATTTGGGTAGGGTGCCAGAACCTGGGGGCGGGGGCTTCTTAGCACATTCCTTACCAAAAATAAAACCTTGATACCTGCATATTTTTGGGATGCTCAGGTAACACATCATATGGGGAAATGCATAAGAATGAAGAAAATGCAACACAACAAGATAAATAACTCAATTGAAAAATGGGCACAGGATATGAACAGACACTTCACCAAAGAAGACATTCAGATGGCAAACACATACATGAAGAAATGTTGAATATCCCTAGCTTTAAGAGAGATGCAAATCAAAACAACTATGAGATATCATCTCGCCCCAGTAAGAATAGCAAAATTAACAGAAGAGCAAACATCAAATGCTGGGGAAGTTGTGGAGAAACTGGAACCCTGATTCACTATTGGTGGGAGTGTAAAATGGCGCAACCTCTATAGAAGGCTGTATGGCGCTTTCTCAAAAAGTTGCAAATAGAAATACCATTTGACCCAGCAACTCCACTACTGGGAATATACCCTAAAGAAACCATAACCGCCACCCAAGCAGATATATGCATACCCATGTTTATTGAGGCTTTGTTCGCAATAGCAAAGAGCTGGAAACAACCCAAGTGCCCATCAACAAACGAATGGATAGAGAAGCTCTGGTATAGTCACACAATGGAATACTATGTAGCACTGAAAAACAAGGAACTCGTGAAATATAATGCAAAACTGATGACCTTGGAGGACATTATGTTGAGTGAAATATCTCAGTCACAAGGGACAAATGTTGCATAGGGCCACTGTTGTAAAATGGGTCTGACATTGCTGCTGAGGGAAGACAGAAAAGGAGGGGAGGAATGATGTATACTGCATTGAAACAGATGAGGGAGAGAATCGTTTGAAAGGGATATATGATTGGGTATCATTGTCAGGACAAGAGTCCAGACTGAAGGCTGCACAGTGGAGTGGACTTGGAGGGGAGGGATTGCATAACAATAAAAGAGTTTTTCTTTTCAAAGAGAAGAGTGAATTGGGGGGCAGGGAGAAAAGTGCAACAATGAATGATTGGAAACCCTAAGTCTGTAAACTTTCATTAAAATTAATTTTAAAAAATGGGAAAACAACAACAAAAAAGTGAAGTAAATGTGATTTGCAATAATATTTTTTAAATTTGCAATAATTAATAACAAAGAGCTTGGAGGTTTCTAGGGCAGTTGGGTTTAATAGCCAGGCAGGCCACTGCCTCTTACCTTGGGATTCAGGCGGGTCAGATCATGTCTTTTCTCTGAAAGGTTGAAGAGCTGCAAGTAAAGAGGATTTTAGACGGATGAGCCCTTAGGCAGTGAGGCCTACTGGCGGGTGGCAGGGTTACCACCGCTGTGACATAAAGGAAGAGGGGGGGGTCTTTAAAAGGCAGAAGTTCTCAAGGTCTGAGCCTGAGTTAGCTTTGCCAGTCCCATCGCCAGCAAGGATTTCAGTTTTGCAGCCTCGCAGCCGTCCCGCCCCTACCACTTGGGCTCCGCCCGAGGTGCCCAGGCCTCTCGGGTTTGACGTCAGTGCGTAGCCTCGCCCATCTGGATCTCCCGGCCCTCGCATTGGTTGACTCGGGTAGGCCCCGCCCCTCACCAGGTATTTGTCCCGGTGCTTGGATTGCAGCACGTGGGCCAGCTCGCGCAGGTGTCCTCGGTGTCGCTGCTCATCGGGCCGCGCGGGGAAGGCGGCGGCCAGGATGCGCTCGGTCACGTAGGTGAGGTCCAAGTCCCAGCGTCGCTCCATGAGCGGATCCAGACTGAAGCTCCTGAGCAGGGGATGGAACCTGGGTCAAAGGATGGAAAGGCAGGGCACCCGAAGGTGGCTAGTATGATGGACAGGCGGCTTGGGACGCTGGGACCTAAGAGTGGATGGAGTCAGAGGGAGAATTCCACTTGGAAAGGGAGCTGTTCTGGAGAGCGTTTGAGGTGGGCCGAGGTGCAGGGGCGACGAAGGGGATCCTATGGCACCACCACAGGCACCCCTACTAACCTGGGAAGAGTGCTGCGCTGCCTTGAGTGGTTCAGAGACTTGGTGGATCCCTGGTGGATGAAAAAACCTGGTCTAGACATCTCTCCAGGTGCCATCCACATCAAGCTCCCCACTCCAGAATCCAGGTACTTTCATCCCCAGAAGAAATCTAGGTCCTTACTCCCAAAGCTACCTGCTTCACTCACCTCCAGTCCCCTAATCCCCCATCACCTTACCAGGTGCTCTATCCTCCTGACAGGGGCTGTGTTCCGCCTCTAGAGGGAGATGAGGAAGGCAAAGGAAGTGCTGAGGGCAGGGCGAGCCCTGGGGATAGTGGGAGGCATGTGAGTGTCCCTGTGAAGATGGGGAAGCGGTGGCGGGAGGTGGGTAGCCAAAGCCCCAGCAGGCCCCAGAGGACAAGAAAAGGAATAGGCTCTGGGAACTCTTTCTCCCCCTCAGGATGACTGACACCTATAGCAGTCAGTTCAAGGTAACCTGGGGACTGCCACCAGGGCCACCAGACTTCTGGATACCTCAGCCCCTTGCCTCCCTCTCACCCTGTCCAAGAGCACACACTCACCAGCTCTGCCGGCGGCAAGGCCTGACAGGATGAAGTCACCTGAAGGGAGACCTGAGTGAGGGACTGAGCCCCTGGTGAAATGGATTCTCCTGGCTTTGAGAACGGGGGCCACCCTTTAGCTTCAGTAAGAAGGTGGAGGGGTTGCTAGCGGATGGACTTCAACTGAAGTTCCTCTATTTAAGGGAGCCTCCCCTCTGGCTTCTTGGGCCCCCCACTTGTTGCTCTTGGCTTCCAGCCCCCTACCCACACAGACCCCCATTCATCCAGCTTCAGGGCAGAAGTTATATATAGAGCCAATGCAGGCAGGCCATGGCCAGGGAGGGACACTGGCCTCTTTCACTGGGAGACCCGCCCCTGGGCACTCATATCCCTCAAGCCAACCGCAAGGCTCTAGGACCCCCTGTATTACAGGCGGAGTAGCAAGGAACCTCCTTAGAGAGGAGCTGTCTCAGGACTCCAGTGGGCTGTGTGTGCTGTCTAGGGCTTGTCCCTTCCACCAGCTTTACAGGGCCCAGGACAAGACCCATTCAGGTATCCTTAGGACCCTTCCTCTGGGGGAAGGCACAACCCATCCGGCTGCCTAGTCTCTCAAATCCAGCTCCCCATCTTTTCACCCCGCCCTTCCTCCTCCTCTTCTACCCCCCCCACCCCCTCGCCAGCTGCAGCCTGGGCACAGCACCAAGACAAACTCCCTGTCCACTCGCCAGGGGGTGGAGTAGGATGGTTCTTAAAGGGCCCAGCACAGAATCCCCTCCCACCCAGCAGAGGTTCCTGTTGATGAGAGAGGTGGAACACCAATGGCAGTGTGGCCGGAGGAGCCCCTTTGTGAGGTGGGAAGGGATGCCAGTCCACCATTAAGCAGAACCTTGTACTTACCTTTGCTTCACATTTTCTATGAGTTGCCACTTTGCAGACTGGAGGGGGATGAGAGAGGAAGAATTGTTAGCAGAAGTCTGTTGGAATAGTAGAAGGGCCCCCCACCTTGCCCCACCTCCCAGAAGCAGCCCCTAAGACTTTGGAACTCCAGCTGTGCCGAGCTGACTGGAGGGCCTGGGTCTGAGAGAAGAGTGTGGCAGTGGGTACTAGCGAGGCTAGGAAAGAAGGGAGCCAAGAGTATGGCCTGTGGTTGGGGTGGGGTGAGGAGGGAAGGATAGGCAAAGGCACTGGGCCTCCTGGCTTGCTGGAGTGTTTGCCTTGAGAGCAAGGGCCATTTTTGAAAGGGCAGCCAGCTGCTTCTTGGCTACCATGTTGCCTAATCCAAGGACATCATTCACATGACATTTTATGTGATGTGTATCTGCCCCCTAGGTAGAGGGTTTCAATGACAGAACAGGGCCCCTCACCTCTACAAGAGACTCCTGTTCCATCGATGGTCACCTTACACACTGCACAGACTGGTGGTTTCTTCCGGAAAACCTTCTCCCGGAAGCTGTGTGGTTCAGTTTTTCTAGGCTGGGTGAAAGAACAGACAGAAGTGTCAGTTCCCAGTTGGCTCATCTCCTGGACCAGGCAAGGGCCTTAACACCCTCCTAATTTTCTCCTTCTTCCATCCCTAAAAATCTCCCAGGCTTTTGGTCTACCACCTTCCCCAGCCGAGATGCACTTGGTCACAGCTGCCCAGGGGAGTGATGGGCCCATTGTACACAGTGCATGCAATCTGACCCTTGCATCACACTAGGTCAACTCCTCCCCAAGGGATCACTTGGGCCCCTCACGTGGCTCTGGTATGTGATGTCCTTAGTGGAGGTGCTCTCCGATTTTCTCCACAATGAGGGCCCCCCTTATTGCCATCTCCAGATGGAGGCCTTGTGGAGAGGGGCCTCCAGATACTTCATGTGTAGAATGTTCTGAAGCAACCAGATTGACCTAGCAGAAGTGGCCTCAGCCAGTCCTGCTCCCTTGGCTCCTGTTGTCCCCACGCTCCAGGCAGCTGACAGCCCCCCCCCCCCCCCCCCCCCGCCGTCAGAACAACATGTTTGCTCTTTGTGCGTTGAGGCGGCAAGCAGCAATTGTGTAAGGGAGGGTAATGCTGGAAGGAGAGGCACATAAAAGCGTGACACTTGGAGGGAAAATGTTTTACTGCTTTGCTGCCATTGGATACAGTCTTGAGGAAATTCAAGTGGGATTCAAGTATTCAGTGGGAAAGAGGTAGACCAGATGACTATTTCAGCCGTCCTCACCCAAAAATGAGTGGATAGGAGGCTGTGATGGCCCCGGCTGTCTCATTGCCTTCCTGTCCCATTGTGAGTCCACTCTTCCCATAGTGTGACAGTTTGCCTCCTTTCCCTTCCACCTATTTTTCTCCTCTTCTGGAGTTCAAGGCCCTGCTCTTGTTCTTCTTCCCTCAAGTGTTGTTAAATGCTGCCCTGAGATTCTTTGGGGATAAAGCTTAGCAGTGGAGAAAGAGAATGCCTGCCAGTCAGGGGCCCCAGGCAGCCTCTGATCTCTTGGCTGTCCCTGAAGCTGTTGGGTTAAATTCAACCTAGAATCTTTCTGGGCTAGACCGATCTTGCTAGGCCCACTAGGAAACCTGGGTGCATTTTGGCATTCACAGTGTGTATGGGTGATGTCAGTGGAAAGCAGGTTCTTAAAGTACCCCCTAAGGGACTTCTGGGGAGCTTTGGGGCCTAGTGACAAGAAGCTGCACTGCAGTCTGCTGCAATCCCAAAGCCATCAGCTGCTCTGTGGGAGAAAGATGGGCAATCTCCGCTCATGCAGTTAACTACCTCTGAAAACCGGTTGGAGGATCAGCTATGCATTGGTTCCAACTCTGTGGTATACAACAACAACAACAAGAAGGAAGTTTTCATGCAAATGACTCATGCAGCGAACCCAAAGGCATACAATCTGAATCTACTAGCTGCTCCAAGAGAGATAGGCAATCTCTTCCCTTGTGATTTGCTGTCTCTGAACACTCACTAGAGGGCCAGCAATGAATCAGTTCAGACCAATGGTACATGACAACAACAAAGCACCCCTGAGAACTGGCCTCTGCAACCCCATCCCATTGCCCCAAAACATTACAGGTCAGAGAAAGGACCTGATCTCTTGGCCTTGTTTTAGGGCTCCAGGATGGTGCCAGGCAAGGGATCCTATAATGACTCAGAGATGCATATGGATTGAGGGGCCAGGATCCATATGGTTGGCCTAGGCTAGGGTAGGGAGGTGATAAAAATGAAACCGAAGCCAATTCTTGGTGTTGAGTCCGATTTAAGAGTGAGCCTCTATTGGGTGACAGACCGAATCAGACAGGATCTGCTGCAACATTACTGCTCATGCTGCAGCCCTGGCCACCGCAAAAGGGCAGAGTATTTAGAAGAGAAAGAGAAGCTTGAGGAAGAGGGTCTGGCCTCCCCCACTCCCCACAGCCCCATCCTTTCCCCTCCTCTGCCCAGGTGGGGGCACTCCTACCCTGCAGGTGGCCCGGCTGCTGTCCCTCCTCCCCAGGGCTCTGAGCAGCCTCTCCACAGGGCCGCTGGACTTCATGGTGTCTGGCTGGCCTGGGTGCTGGCCGAGAGGCCTGAACAATGCTGGGGCCTGGCCGGGGCTTCCTGGAAGCAGCCTGACGGAGGCAGCCGCTTCCCTTGGGCGGAGGAGAGGCTGTCTGACTGGTGTGAGGAGAAGCCCAGCCCTGGAAGTGGAGGGGAGTGCAGGCGGGAAGGGGGCAGGTCGCTGCTCCAGGAAGTGGGGTGGGGGAGGATGTGAGGGAGGCCAGGAGATCAGATTCCCAGGATCTACCCTGCTGGGAGTGTCAGCTTAGGATCCTGTGGGTCCCCAGGCTCTGGAGCTACTGTGGAGTCTCCTCTGGGCTTTCTCAGTGATTCGTCCTATCCAGGATCCTGAGATCCAGCTCCCTGGGGCTAGGCAGGGTTGGAGTGGGAATTTAGGTCTCAGGGCAGGGCTCGAGGGCCAGTGGGGAACACTCTGTCCCTGAAAGCCTGGACTCTCAGTACTTCCCCCAGGGGTAGGAGGAGCTGGGAACCACTGTTTTGGCCAGCTCAAGTTCTGGAGTGCACCCTGAGGCTCCTGAGGGCGAGAAAGCCTGATCCTGAGAGAGCTTTCTAAGAGCCAGGGAGAAGAGCTAGCTTCCTGCCTTAGTTTCCCCAAGTATGAAGTAGGAAAACAGACATACAGCACACACACTGCCAGAACAAGCCCCAAGATGAAGTCAGCTTTGCCCACAGGAACAATCCATTCTGTCTGCTGTGCTTGGGACCCAGTCCCCCACTTACCTACCCCTGGCTATCTTTTAGGTCTGTCTCACAGAACCTGACACATCCTTTGAGCCCTGAATTTTAGACCTTCTGCTCTAGTTCTCAGGCCCCCAATCCTAGGCCCCTCCCTCCTGAGTCCCCAGGGGCTGTATACTACCTTCATGTCTCTCCTAGCTCCGTTGTCCTTCCTCAGCAGCTGCCCAGGTCCGGAGGACTAGACGGGCAGGCCCCCACCCAACACATACTCCACCCCCCTCAGCAGGCCTCCTGCCTCTCTCCTGGGAACATGGCCAACTTCCTGTCCTAGGAGTCAGGGAAGGGGGTGGATGAGGCCTTGGGTAGGGGGTTAGTAATCCTCCAAAACCACAAGGGGTTAATGGCAGGAGGTCTTGAGCCTTAAGCCTGGGAGAGCAGCCTTTCCAATGACAGGAGCTGTCAGATAAAAGAATGTGTAAATATGTCTCCCCCCTCCAATTTGCATGGTATTTACTGAATGTCCCTGTACTCTGACAATTCCCAACTCCCCCAGCTCTGGCTTTTCCCACTGGGTCCCTTCTTATCCTCCTGAATGCCCATCTGGACTGGTCTAATAATCCTGTGGTTTTTTTAGATGAGTGCTGGGCTGGGAGGCTGGGAACCCACCCAGGACATTTCCTTGGGGCTCCCTGGGCTGAGCCTAGCCTGTGGCCTCTCTTAAGTGTCAGTTCCCTAGGCCAGGAAGTCTGTCCCCAGGTTACCTTGGACAGTGGGTAGCATCTGTATAGCAAGGCCTAGGCCACTAACTAGAGAAGCGCATTGGATCTGCACCCTACCCCTACTGTCCCAGGACTGGCTGGGTCCCAGGACATTCCACGTCCCTGGCTAAAGTGAGTAGCTGGGTCCAGCACCCAGTCCTTGGAGAAGAAGAATGTTATGTTGGGGTCTCTCTTTTGCCCATTTCCCTCCTTGCACATAACTGACCAGTACCCCTTTAGCATATTTCTATTCCTACTGCCTCTGAATGGGTAGAATAGTCTCTTCACTTGGCTGGCCACCTCAGGTGGGCCAAGTCCTAAAACATCCTCTGACTTGAACTGTGTCCTCAGACAGACACTCCCAGTAGGCTGTCCAAGCAGTGACAGAGGGTCACCAACACTTGTGTTTGGGGCCAGGGCCAGGATTGCCATGGCTTTGAATGCCTCCCCATCCTGTGGACCATCTTTGAGGGATGATGGGGACAGAAAAGTACTGGTCCTTAAATGGGGGTGTCTGAGAGGAAAAGAAGCTGGGACACGGCTGGGGAGGTATTGCTAGGTTCCCAGGACCCTCACTTTCCTCTCGCCTGGAACATTCCATGAAGTCTGTCAGCAGCTCCCCCAGCCTGGCCCCTTCTCACTCAGAAGCCTACGGTTTGTTTGGAGAAACCCCCTCCACCCACACACCCCCCTTCCTGGAAATAGCTGTGGTTGGATGAGAGGCTGGGAGCTCGGGCCCAGGGAGGAGGAGGAGGGGTGAGGCCCATGGAGGGAGAGTGAGGAAGGCAGGGTATGTGGTTATGCACAGAGATCTGAAGGAAAAGGGGACAGATTAGCCAAGTGGGGGCTCTCGTAAATTGGGTCTGCCCAGTCTGGCAGCTTCCTGTCTCGTTTCCTAACATGTGAAGTAGAAAAGGAAGAGACTTTCAATTCATATACTGTCTCCCTGAACGCTACTTCCAGCTCCTACCCAGGTCCCGGGCCTACGAGTGTGGAGGGAACATGGGGAAGCGCCACCGCGCAGCAGCTTCGCCTCACGCAGAAGGCGCGCGCTCACGAATGCGTGGTGGGAGAATCGGGGACCAGAAGGCGAGCTGGCCCGACGGCCCGGAGGGTGTGCGGTGTGCGAGCATCGGCCATCCCTGCCCGCGATCACCTTCCCGGCCTCTAACTGCCCCCAGGTCGCCGCAGCCCACCCCGAGCCCTGGGACACCCACTCCTCGCTCTGCGCCCCCTGGCGTCAGCCCCCGGCATTGCCCGCCCGGCGCTGACGCAGAGGCCGCCGCCCTCCGGCCCGGCTCGGCTCGGCCACTCACCTGCGGGGGGCGCCCGGCGGGGCGGGGGCGCGGCGGGGCGAGGCAGCAGCAGGGGGAGGCCCAGAGCCAGCCCATCCCGCCCCGGGCCCGCGCTAAGCGGGACGAAACAGAGGCGGGAGTGGGCGCGCCGCACTCTCCAGGCCGGGCTCCCTCCCGCCCCGCACTCCCCGCCGCGGCCGCCCTCTCCCTCGTTCCCTCCCTCCGTCCCTCCTTCGCCTGGGCTCCAATCCCCAGATTCCTCCCGCTCTCCGCCCCCTCGGCCGTTCTCTTTTTCCCTTTGCTCTCCACCTTCTCCCGCGAACGCAAAGGAGACTCACAAAGGGACAGGAGGCGAGAAGAACGTGGGGCCCGCACAGTCCGAGTGAGTGGGAGATTAGGAGATCAGAGAAAAGATTTTGAGAATGACAGACACCGAGGACACGAACACAGGAAAATCTGAGTCGCGGAGTGACCCGGAGATGGCGACATATAGAGGCTGACCTGAAGCCGGTCAAATAGACGCCTAAGAAAAAGTGGACAGTTAGCCCTGAAGAGAATAGAATCAAGCTTGCTGAGAACGGCTGGCCTCCCTCGGCCTGCCCAGTTAAGAACTGACACTGGGCTTGACGCCAATGTCCCAGACAGAACCACCTTCAAGCGCCACCTGCCCATGGCGCACTAGAATCCGAAGACATCTGAGATTAACTCATGTCCCAAGTCGTCAGACACCCTTTCTCTGGACCTGTGCCTAGACACTTCTCTGTTGGACTCAAACCAGAGATTGCTACATCAGGTTTAGCCCCTACACCCAATGCAGCTTCTGTCATATCCATCAGCTTTCTTTGGAGCAGGACACGCATTCACACTCCCTGGGAGACTTCTACTCAAGGAAGTCTGTCACTTTTAACCCAAGTCTCAGGCCTCCCCAACAATTATGGGAGTTCTCTCTATATAGTCTGACCTCTCTTGTATGGATTATGGATCTGGTATTGTCGCTATAATTCACAGGTGATTCGATGGCACTTAACAATAACATCAACCGTGGAGCTTCCTGAAACTGAGGACTTTGGGGCAAGATTGAATTGTGCCATCCGGGAGGTGAAGGAAGAACCCCCAAGGCCTAGTAGTTTATAAAATATTTGTCTGTTAATTAAGAGGTCAGCTGTTTGAACCCACCAGCCACCCTTAAGAAAATGTGGCAGTTTGTACCGGCCCCAACCCCGAATTAGAACCCTAAGGGAATAATACTAGTTTGCCCTACAAGGGGTACTAAGAGTAAATTCAACAGCAAGGATTTTGGGCAGGCAAGCAGGAAGGAAGGAATGTCTTGCTAAAGCTCTGAATTTGTTTCCATTCTCACATTCACTAATGCTGTTCAGTAGTCAGCACTTCCTGAAACTTTCTCCCTCACCCTCCCCAGTAGAATTTCCATGATGAAAATATACAAGTGCGTGGGGGAAGGAGAGGTGGATTTTGAGAATCCAGTGTCCAGAGCTCAAGGCCCAGAGCCTACAGAGCAGTCAGCACCACCAGGGCTAAAGTCCTCTATCTCTTCCAGGCCTTTCTCTCAGCTGGGTCTTTTTCTGTCATCATCCTGTTTTTAGCAAAGGCTAGGAAATTTGGTTCTGGTTAGTAGAGGGTGGAGCATCTGAGATCAAGTTGGCAGCTGGGAAGAAGAGGCTGTGAAGCAGAGCATGGTGACAATGCAGGTCCCTCAGACACTGGGATGAGGAAGTCTATCTCTTGCTACCCTTGGCTGAGTTGGTGACCAGTAAGCAGTTTCAGAGATCTATGAGTTAGTTATAGAGGGCTGGGGTAAGGGTGGTGTGGTGGGATGAAGGTCTCAGAGGGAAAGGTTAGAGACACTGGGGAGAAGAGCAGCAGAATTAAGAGAGAAGGATGGCAGAGATGCGGGCTGCTGAGTGAAGGGGGAGGGCTGAAGGTTGCTCTTTGTATTTGGGCAAGATTTAGTTATATAATCAAGATACATAAAGTTTTGAGATTTGTTTTAGAAGCAGACATCTTGCCCTTCCCAATATTCATTATGGTTTTTGACTGGAAACTAAGATGCAAACATCATGGGGCTTCAGAGGGACTGGGACTCAGAGGACTGGATCCCAGAGAAGCAGATTAATCTAGGATCCCCACATGTGCTGGTATTGAGGCCGCCCTACCTAGTTAGTGGGCCCATAAGAACTTCTGAAGGCCCAAAAAGTTGGGAAGTCACAGGTTGGTATTAAGTCTCAGCTTAAATTAGGTATCTGCTTTCAACAGAGACTAAGGTGTTTGGAAAGCTATAGTAAAGAACCTAATGAGAAAAGTGATTTTTTTAATAGGGTGTGAAGTGAAATTATGCATGCTTAGTATTTAGAAGGGAGGGAAAGGGGGAGGAGAAAGCCAGAAACATGTTAATAAGGGTACAATTTCAGGAGTACCCACTGACCCTCCATGCAGGTTTTTTCTTACCTTGAGAATGCAGAAGCCAGCCCATATTGGCATCAAAGGCTGGACCTCTTCTTCCACTGTCTGAGGTGATCCCATGCCTGTAACTGTGTTCAGATCCTTGCAGAGGTAGCAGTGCTACACAAGTGGGCATTGAGGGTGTGGGGTTATCCTGGTTAGAAGAGCATTGGGTCAAGGGAACTTCAGTGGATGATCTGGGGCGCTGGGAACCAGGAAGAGAGGGGGAAGGGGCTGAGTTGACTCCAGAGGCGGATCTCCTGGCCCAGAGGACAGAGGGTGCATTGTCCAACGGGGAGGCCGCTGCAGATGGGCGGGGAGCAGCACAGCTCGACCCTTCCAAATGCCTTTTTGAGGAGTGGGGTGGGTGAGGAAAAGCAGTCCTCCCTTCGTTTGTGGCCCTGGGGAATAAAGTGGTTGGTGAGAAACAGCTACTTGACAAGTAATGCTTCCCAGGAGCAGATGTGCAGTTCTTCCATTTCCTGAGAAACCAGATGCTGTGAGCTTGAGAAGCACTTGAGGTGACATTGTAGCACTAACTAGGTTAGACCCTCACTGCCATGGAATCGTGAATACAGTGCTTGACTTTGTTTTGAATAAACTAGGTTATGTGGACTGGAATACACATGGGACCCACCCAGCTTGAAGTTGGGATGCTGCACTTAACATACTTCTCACTTGATTGTTGACCTATCTTTGCGACTCAGCTTGTAGGACTGTATAATCCTTATCTGAGGATGTAGTTTGGCCGTTCCTGGAATTTGGGAGTCCCTGTGGTGGGGTAAACATGTCAAACACTGGTGTTAAAAACCCACCAAGAAGCATCCCAGGAAGGCTTGATGGTCTGCTTGAGATCACAACCATCAAACCCTAGGGAGCAAAGTTAAACTTTGAAACATGCCAAGGCCTAAAGTGACTCAGCAACTGCGGTACTTGTTTCCCACTTTGGTACAGGGGGCACCTTTCTGCTCACAACCAACATAAGCTTCTCTCAAATGAGCCTTTTACACTTTTCTGAGTCTTATTTACCCAGACCTCAGCACTACCCAGGCCAGAGGAGTACTTGGAAATGTGAGGGGTCATTTTCCCCCCTAATTAATTTTAATGCAAGTTTATGGAGACTTAGGGTTTCCATTCATTCATTGTTGCACTTTTCTCCCTGCCTAGCCCCCAATTCACACTCCTTGAAAAGTAAAACCTTTCATTGTTAAGCAATCCCTCCCCTCCAAGTCCACTCCACTGTGAAGCCTTCATTCTGGCCTCCTGTCATGACAGTAATACCCAATCATATATGCCTTTTAAACAGTTCTCTCCCTCATCCATTTCAATACAGTATACTTCATTCCCTCCTTCTGTCTTCCCTCAATCCTGATGTCAGTCCCATTTTACAACATTGACCCTATGCAGTATTTGTCCTTTTGTGACTAAGATATTTCACTCAGCATAATGTCCTCCAGGGTCACCCATTTTATATATTTCATGAGTTTCTTGTTTTTCCAGTAAAGGATAAAATAGATGAACGGGACCTTCTAAGAATCAAATTCCTATGCACATCCAAAAACTTCTCCAACAAGGTAAAAAGGGAAGCCACAGACTGGGAAAAATATTTGGTAATAAAATGTCAGACAAGGGCCTTATATCTAGAATTTATAAAATACTCGAGCACAAGATAAAGGTAAATAACCCAATTGAAAATTGGGCACAGGATATGGACACGTCACCAAAGAACACATTCAGATGGCCAACAAGCACTTGAAGAAATGTTCAAAATCCCTAGCTCTAAGAGGGATCACTTCTTGTGCAACAGAGCCCACATTGAGGTGGACTGACAGTGACTGAAGCAATGGATTAAGTGTGTTGATGATGGCACCCGGTTCAGGTGTTGTTCATTGGATTGCTGAATTATACTCTCCAGTACCTAACAATAACCCATCCACACAGACTTCTGGATCACACAATTGGTCTCATCACTCTTTGGAGAATGAAAATGCATCGAGTGGACTCTAGAGTTCATTGTGAAACAGTACTTACTGTTCTCATCTACATATCCCATGGCTCTAAGTCTCCAAAATTGATCACAAGTTCCAGTTCCCCTTGATTCCCTCCACCTCTTTGGAATGCCACTGTCTTAACCCATTGTTGGTCTTAACAACAATGAACAGTCCCTTCCTTTTGTTTGGACAAGTCCCATTAGGCCTCAGTTGTAGAAACCCAGCAAATAACACCTCTAGACTGAAAGGCAAAGGTCTGCTGAGACAGTGATTTAGCCCCAGAACATCTTGTGACTAAAATGGAAAAATACAGAAAATGGGACCGTAGGCAATCTTGAGCAATATTAAAGGTTAAACTAGGGGAGCTGGGGTGTAATTCTCAGTTTCTGAGTCTCAGTAAGCATTAAGAGAAATTTCCCTAGTAATCCTCTCCTCAGATCTGAATGAAAACTTCAGAGGTGGTAGGGATGGAGCAGGTTGGACTGTCAATTTGAGTACTAAAATAAATGGCAATGGGGAGCATGCAAAGAATTTCACAATGAAATGAACTTTAAAGATCAGATTTATTTGGAGAAAACAAAAAACCCACAACCCAAAGGAAGGGGATTTTACATTTCAAGATTTATCTCCCAGGTATTAAGTCTACAGATTACAAATCATTTTCGTAGAAGATATTTTTGTACAAATTTTACATGTATTCAGGAGCTGGACATAAATCAATCCCTGTTTCTGCTTTAACAGGAGGGCAGAGGAGGGAAATGGGGATGAACAGCTCTTTTGGATACAACTATTTGGAAGGAGAGTAAACATGAAGAGGGCAATCCGACCTTCTCAATATCTACAGCAAATAGTAAAAAAACAAAATCAAAAACCACCCCAAAACCCAACAAACAAAGCCCCTCTCAATCTTGGATATTTCCCTTTAAAAGCCCTCTTCCTAGTTACTAGCCAATCTGTGCCAATTGCTTAAAATTCACTTGGTAGAGCTTTCATGCTCACTGGGTAAATGATTTATTATGCTCACTGCTGCAGCAAACAAACTTGCACGGCCATCCAGGGCCTAACCTAGGACTGATGGGAGAAGGGTTTGCAAACAAGGAACCAAAGCGTCATTTATCTGCAGGTACCAGGGGAAGGATACCATTTACCAAGCTGACCGTACAAAGGTGTACATAAAAGCAGGCAAGATAAAGTACTGTGTTGCAAGAGAAACCAGGACCTTGTTAAATAGTTCTCTCCATCATTTATTCTCAAGGTAAGTTTTTATAAAAAAAAAAACAAAAAAAACCCAAAACACCAAAACACCCCCCCCCAACAGAAGATACACACACACAATTGGTCTAGACCACATTATAAATCAAAACATTGGTGTGGAATTATCAGTGGAGAGAAACTTTTTTAACTTCACGGCTGTTAAGACTACCAATTTAACGGTATCTACCCTTATCCACCACCCAAGACAATTAATTCTAAAGTTTTCTGATTAAAGAAACAGGAGCAAGAATGACTGGTGGTAAAATGTAGAGATTTAAGATCAAAGAGCCAATTTACTTCAAAAAAAAGCAGTGATTCCTCATTTGATAGCTCCCACTGGCTGAGACAGAAAATGCCTGAGCTCAGGTATGTTACTTGAATAGAAGCTGTGTTTTTGGGAGGCAACAAAAAATAGTATCAGGAAGGGTAGTTGTTTAGAAAAGGCCAAACTGGAGTACAGATAAGATTGGGAATTTAATGTCCTGTATGTAAGTGTTCCCTGCTCCAAGGAAAAAAAACCCCAAAACACAAAACCAACACAAACCACCAAAACCCACCACACCCCATTCTTGTGTTTAGTGGAGGTCAAACCATTTCCTTATTACCTGGTGCAAAAGAAACCTTTCTCATAGCATCTTAATTTTCCCATTTATTTTGGTCACCAAGCAGCCCTTTTCTTCCACGAAGGCCTACAGACTCAACTCTCTACTACCCCCCTAGGGGGTAAATATGAAGAATTCCCCCTAGGTTGGACCCAGGGACTAGCAGCCTCCTGGAGATTAAAACCACCTCAGAGACTATTAAACCTACCTTTCCAAAGATGGAAATTTTATGCAGAATGTTTCAGAATTCATATATGCCACAATAGGATCATAAAAATTAAAAGGTAAAACCCTCACACTCTTCCTTATACCTGTCCTACTGCCCAACCAGATTCCATACAATGACTCACTGTCATTACCACTTATGCTGAATGGAGGCCCCCAGGGACTAATCACACAGGCAACTGCATGGTGTCATAAAATGCCCAAATTTTCCTTTAAAAAAAAGCTGTATTTTCTGTCTGGACACATTGATGATTCTCCAGTTAGTTCAATACTTTTAAAGGCTGCAGCAGCATGCAAAATAATTTCATTTCATTGGGGGAGGGGGAGTTAAGAAAGGTCTCCAGGAGATGTTGAGTTTTATTATCGTGTCTGGTTAGAAGTTTGATTTTCTCTTGAATGTTCCAGGGTGGAGAGAGACTAGGAGAAAGCACAAGATGTAGAGGTCTATTCGGTGTAATCTTCCCCCTCATTTTCATCCTCACCATCAACCGATAGAGCAGCATACTTGCTTGCAGAACTGAACTTCTGAAATAGAGTAACAAAGGAATTGAATTCTGCTTCAAACCAAGAACAGGGTACTGATGCTTTGGCAAATAGGGACAGACTGCAAGTCTAGATTTCTATCTACTTTCATGTTCGTAATATTTTCTGATTGGCAAGCAGCTAAGGCAAAGGTACCATACATATCTTATTGTAGTGCAACATCAGTGCCTATCTTCATTCCTGAGGTAAATGTAATCAAAGGTAAAAAATGAGGAGAACCACATCAACTGTGGTGCTAGAGAAGATGCAGCCAGAGTGCTCCTTGGAGGCAAAGATGATCAAATTCATCTCACATGCTTTGAGCACACTGTTAGGAGAGGGTATTCCTAGGACAGGGAGAGATCATGCTTGGAAAGGTGGAGGGTAGTGAAAAGAGAGGAAGAGAGTGACTGCAGCAGGAGCCCAAGTGTATCAGAGATGATAAGAACGGCAGAGGACAGGACAGGATTCAGGCCTGTTGTTCACAGGGTCGGTGAATTGTATTCAACTTGAAGGCACCTAACAAGAACAACTTGAAGCTTTTACTATTGTAAACAATGAAGTCTTATTTTAACCACTTTATTTGTAGTCTCAAAAGTGAAGCCCAATGGGGGAGGGGATCAATATTATTTTTCTTTTTTAAAGTGCCCTTTCAGAGTAAAAGTGAATGAGAAAGATGGAAACATTTACCGAGGCTGGGTTTTCTTCTAGTTTCTTTGGCTCAGGTGCAGATCTGGAATCTTGATCTTTTCTACCATCTTTTCTGGAGAAATGAAGAATAAAACCACATTTTTAAGAGAGGAACGGACACCCCCTCCTTCCCAGAGCTACTTAAAAGATTTTTAGAACACAGCCTCCTTTTATTTTTACTATTTGTAGCATCTTAGAATTTTAATGGCAGACTTTAGTTTGTTTTTAGCGAGAAAGGACAATGCTGAGAGAACCAAGATGCTCTAAATTACTGACACTTGCATATGCAAGAGAGAAGACTGATAAATGCCAAGAAAGAGGACATACCTATCAGACTCCTTCCAATGGTCTCTGTTCCCTCCATCTCCTGGAGCACGGCTGGAGTTCCCACTATGGCCTTTTGGGACACTCACCCCATCTAGTTTATTTTCATCTGCTTGAGAGAAGAAATATGCACCCCATGTACTGAAAGAAAGGAAAACTGGCAACCCAGCCTTCCTTTCCTTCTCCTTTGTATCTCTCTCTCTCATTCCCCCCACCAACCCCAAACAGGAGGATACTAAAAAAAATTCCACTGTCACAAATTCACCATAAGAAGCAAGCTGAAAATAAGCACTATGATGTTCTGCAATGACCTTGAGCTTGGTGAAATTTCTAATCTGGACTCAGTTAATTTCCTTCCTGGTCCCCCCCCCCTTCCTTCTTCCTTGTTCCCTATCAAAGAAATGCTCTACCAGGAAAGGGCAGGGCACTATGCTTTTTCCAGAAGCCATTTCTGTCCTCTACTGGAAAGGAGATGTAGGCAACCAAAAAACCCTCTCTTATGTAGACTATTTCCAAGACATCCGAGGCAGAAGAACCCAATTCTCTCTGCATGGTCTCACCTTTCCTTGCTGGTCCTTCTTCAGATGGCTGACCAGGGACTACTTTCCCCCCAACACTGGAAAGAAAACATGCAACATTTACAATCATTAGTCATCTCAAAAAACAAGATAAGAAACTACCTACCATTTTCTAAATGCAGTAAGATGTACAGAGATCCCAAAATATATACTTATTTTTGAAACATTAAAATATTGAAAAGATAACAATAAAAGCAGTGATGTGACAGTCAAAGCTAGTATTAGCATCCTTGATTTTACAAAGATCAAGAAGCCCAAGTCTCAGAAGTAAAGGCACTCAAGGCAATACAGCCAAGTATAAGACAAATGAGAAAACAAAATCTGCTTTGATTTACTGCATTTGCAAATTTCTGTGGTGCACATACTCCCATCATGGCTGTTTTCAAGATACCAAGTGATGCTAACCAGCCACTGAAACTCTGTAAACAGAACAAGTGGCTCTAATGAGTTGGTCCCAGTAATTCAGATTTTTTTAACTAAGGTCGGGAGAGGGGGGATAGCATAATGCATAAAACCCATGGGACATTTTCTGGTATAAGAGGTAAGATTGTTTAGCTAACCAGCTGTTATTTTCCAAGCTGACTCACCTTGTAGGGGACTGTTGCTCTGTGTCTGAGCTCTGAGATCGAGCAGGAGGATTAGAACTTCGCTTCACCCAAGCATTCTCCTTTGGTGGAGGGGCTGGCATTACCTTTAGAGGTTGATCAGGTTTGGGAGGCTTAGAAGTTGGAGAGTGACAATCTTCTTCCTTATTGAGTATTTCATTTTCCAGAGATTTTTCACTCTCTCTCCTTCGTGTATCTGAAGTCAAAGTGGGAAGGTAAAATTACCAGGAAGAAAAGGTAAATGGATAAGCACATTTTAATATGATTTTCACAGAGAATTACTGGCCCACATCTAAATATACCTTTTCTCATGGTTTTTCTTAAAACAGTAAAAAGGACTTAAGGGTTTTACCTTTCTTGGGTATGAAAGAGTATTTTATAGGATAAAAAAACCCCACCACAAAATAAAAAAACACCCTCAAACAAACAACCCCCCCGCCCCAAAACCCTACCAAAGCTAAAACATCATATATCAGACATTTGTATTTTTTCAGAAGGGTACCAAATGTCTTCTAAAAACTTGTTTTTGATGAATAATTGAACGAAAACGTATTATGATGTGTAAACATTCACTCAAATAAGAGACATTACAACCTATTACCAAGAAGTTACTCTAACTGAACCACTAACATAAATTTCCGAATCACTTCATCCTTGAAGCATATTAGAAGGCAAAACATAAAAACACAACCTCATGGTAAGGGAATGTTACCACTGGCCCATTCAGGTTTCCCTAACCATGGGAAGTGCTTGTAACCACTAAGTAAAGGAAACAGACAAAATAAAGACTAAAACAGTACTGTATCTTGAGAGCCTGAAATCAGCCTTCTGGGCAACCGAGTCCTTGCTTGGATTAACAAAAGTCTAAGATGTCAAGCCATAAGATAGACAAACGTAATGGTCTCTGTTATGTGTCATCGAGTTGACTACAACTCTGTAGGATGAACTTATTTTATTAAATGGCTCATTCCAAATTCCACTGTGCCCATTTCTGAAATTTTCCAGAGGAGATGGGACTCTCAGTCACGAGGAGTCCACAGAAGTGGCAGAATTAAAATACTTCAAAGCCGCTGCATCATTTTCTCCACATATGCCCCAGATAGGTTATGGAGAATGCCAATATGATACCCACCCTGGTCTGACTTACTTCTGCCAGATGTGGCTGAGGTCCCAGATTGCGATGACTCACTTCCTGTCCTTGACCGTTCCCGTTCCTGAGTTTCTTCACTCCGCCAGCTTGGGTGTCTGTACAAAAGAGATTCAACTAAACATAGTATGCTGTATTCAATGAAACCACCTTGGATGAATGTTAACCTTTCAATAATCAAGTATTAATTTATAATATTTCATAATATAGGTATAAAACCAAGCTTTCTGCCACAGTCAATTCCAATTCATGATACTATGTGAAGCCTGTGTGTGTACTTACATCTAAGCAAATCCCTTGTAATCAGGTACTTTAAAAATTTTAATGAAAGTTTACAGAGACTTTGGATTTCTATTCATTCATTGTTACACACTTTCCTCCCTGCCCACCCCTCCTCCCCAGTTTGCTTTTCTCTTTGAACAATAAAACTCTTCCATTGTTATATAATCCCCTTGCCTCTAGTCTACTCCACTATGCAGCTTTCATTATGGACTCATGTAATGACATTAATACCTAATCATATATTCTTCCTAAGCAGTTCTCTCCCTCATCTATTTCAATGTAGTACACATTATTTATCCCCTCTTAGTTGTCCCCCCCAACCCCAATGTCAGTCTTGCTTTACAACAGTGGCCCTATGCAATATTGTCCTTTTGTGACTGAGATTATTTCACTCGGCGTAATGCCATCCAGGGTCACTCTTTTGAATACTATTTCATGAGTTCCTTGTTTCTCAATGCAGCATAGTATTCCATTGTGTGAATATACCACAACTTCTCTATCCATTTGTTTGTTGATGGGCAATTTGCAATAGCTAAGAGCTGGAAACAACCCAAGTGCACATCAACAAATGAATGGATAGCGAAACTCTGGTATAGTCACACAAGGGAATACTATGCAGCACTAGAAAACAAGGAACTCATGAAGTATTATGCAAAATGGATGACCCTGGAGGACATTATGCTGAATGAAATATCTCAGTCACAAAAGGACAAATATTGCATAGGGCCACTGTTGCAAAACAGACTGGAATGATGTATATTGCACTGAAACAAATGAAGGAGAGAACTGTTTAAAAGGGCCATATGAATGGGTATTCTTGTCATTATAGAAATGCAGAGTGAAGGCCGCAGAGTGGAACGGACTTGGGGGGAAGGATTGCAGGGAAGAGTTTTTCTTTTTCCTTTCAAGGAGAAGAGTAAATTGGGGTAAGGGGGTTGGTAGGGAGAAAAGGGCAACAATGAATGAGAGGAAACCCTAAGTCTCTGTAAGTGTTCATTAAAATTAATTAAAAAAAAATTATGGTAAATTCACCAAATGGGATATTATGCAGCACACAGGAGTGATGATTTTGTAAATTATTAGCTAATTTGGGATGGACTGGAGAGCATTATGCTGGGTGAACAAACTTAAGTCTAATAAGGACAAATAATACTATAAAAACCATTATTGTTTTATTAGGACTGGGGTGTGTGGGTGAGAGAGAGAAGGTGTAAGCAGAGGGATGAAGACGGGTGGGGAAGGGAGTTAAATCACAGGTTTGTAAAATTTGGTATGCGTGTGTGTGTGTGTGTACTTAAGTCTAATAAGGACAAATAATACTATATAAAACCATTATTGTTTTATTAGGACTGGGGGTGTGTGTGTGAGAGAGAGAAGGTGTACGCAGAGGGATGAAGATGGGTGGGGAAGGGAGTTAAATCACAGGTTTGTACAATTTGATAGGTGTGTGTGTGTAGGAAATGGGAAAGATACCATGTGAAAAACAATGTAAAAATAAAAATTGGAAAAAAAAAAAATAAAAAAAATAAAAATTGGGAGCTCTGGTGGCCTAGTGGCAAGAAGCTGCTGCACTGTAATCCAAGAGGTATGTGGTTCAAATCCAGCAAAGCCGAACAATCTCCTCCTATATCAGTCAGATCTGATTTGTCGGTACACACACAAAATAATAAAATAAAAATTAAAAGAAATCAGAAAACAGGTAAGGAAAAAAAGAAAAAAAAATGTCTGTTTTAAGTGAATGGTCTGAGCTTCAAAGCTACTTACTGTTGTTGTTATGTGCCGTCGAGTCACTTGTGACTCATAGTGACCCTATGTACAACAGCCCTAAACCCTACTTTATCTTGTGCCAATCTCACTGCCTCTGACACACCCATCCCAATTACCCCAGTCACTGAATCAATCCACCTCATAGAGGGTCTTCCCCTCCTGCGCGGTCCCTCCACCCTCCCAAGCATGATGTCCCTCTCCAAGGACCTGTCCCTCCTTACAACATGCCCAAAGTATGTCAGACGAAGCCCCAGAATCCTTGCCTCCAAGGAGTGGCCTGGTTTAACACTCTCTAGGATGAATCTGTTTGTTTTCTTGGCAGTCCATGGCACTCTTCTCCAGAACCACAGCTCGAAGGCATCAATTCTCCTTCTATCCTCCCTAGTCATGTCCAACTCTCTGATGCATAACAAGTGATTGCAAAGACCATGGCCTGTATCATCAGGCTCTCTATCTCTTCGCTATGCATCCTGATGCTACAATTGGTCCAGTGGTGAGAATCTTTGTCTTCTTGACATTGAGGGCTGAAGGCTGCAGTCCTTGACCCTTCGCAGCAAGTGCATGAGGTCCTCCTCAGTTTCAGAAAGCAGGGTTGTGTCATCTTCATAACGCAGATTGTTAACAGATCTTTCACCAATCCTGACACCACACTTCTCATAGAGCCCAGTCTCTTGGATAATCTGCTCTGCATACAGGTTGAAAAGGTATGGAGACAGGACACATCCTGGCGTATACCCTTCTCAATTTTGAACCATGCACTGTTACCCTGCTCTGTTCTGATGACTGCCTCTTGGTCCAAGTCTAGGTTTCGCATTAGCACAATTAAATGTTCTGGGATTCCCATTCTTCTCAGAGTCAGCCACAATTTGTTATGATCCACGCAGTCAAATGCCTTTGCATAATCAATGAAACTAAGCTACTTACTACTCTGGGAAAAAGATGTGGCAATATGCTTCCATAAAGATTAAAGCCTTGGAAACCCCATAGAGCAGTTTTATGCTTTTTAGGTTCACTATAAGTTGGAATGGATATGAAGGCAGTGGAGTCCATGTACCACTCCCCCTCATCCCCCCATTTTCTAGACATTAGCCCCACCCTTTTCTAATAAAAAAATAACAGGAGAAAGATAGGCAATCCTCTCCCTTATGCTGAATAACCCCTGAAAACATACTGGAGAGCTATCAATCTGTTCTGAACAACAGTAAGTTGCTGCTGCACTGATGCCGATCCTCCACATACTAACAAACTCATTTCTTTTTCCAAGTCTTTTAAATAGTATCAAGCAACCCAAAGTCACTAAGGCAATTTTTTACTTAAAGTGATATTCTTATCTGGCTTCGGAGGTTGTTAACTGAAGAAGAATGCTAATCTTTCTTTCACCAACCAGTTTTTAGGTGTCATCGAGATGAGCACAACTCATAGTGACCCTATGAACAGTGGATGTGACTCGAGCTCTATCCTGTGCCATCCTCATCATCTGACACACTTCAGCCTACTGCTGCAGTCACTGTGTCACTCCATCTTGTTGAGGGTCTTCCTTTCTTTCACTGACCTTTCCAAACATGATGTCCCCTTCCAACCAAGAGGTTAGTAGATGTGAATCATCAAGCCTGTGGTTAGCAGTACAACATGCTATGCACATGCCACTAGATCTCTTCATACAGAATCTACTCCTCCCTACTTCTTGTTAGGTTGACTCATAGGGACTCACATAAAGTAAATACTGGTCTTAAGAGGTTTGGTGCACCAGTCTTTAAAATGACAACCTTGCTCTTTAGCAATTAAAAAAGTCATTGATAGCACATTTGCCCAATGTGATGTCTGATTAATGCTGCTTTCAGGGGTGTTGATAGTGAAAATAAGAAGAATTTAATGTTGACAGCTTCAATCTCTTATCTTTTTATCCTGCTGTTGTACTAAGTCCAGCAATGATGAGGAAATTGCCAATCTTTCTCCTGAGAAGGTGCTGGAGGATTAAAACTCGGTCGGCAGAGCAATTCCTTACCCACTACGCCACCTGTACTGAAGTCTACAACCAGAAATTCTTAAATAAGGAGTCTCTGAAAGTCTTAAATTCACAAGTCTTCTTCACCTTTCATCAAGCAAGGCTGTATCATTTGCATACAGCAGGATGTTAAGGTAGCATTACTCATTTCTTGGAATACTTATTCAGTATGTAGAATGAGTTAGTATGGTAAAAGGCTACAACCCTTAGCCACAATTTTAAACCACTAAGGCTAGTCTGAATTTCTGGCAGATCTGTCAACATACTGCTCCAGTCCTTTTTGAATAGTTTTCTGCAATAATTCACATGTGCGTGCTTTCGACAAAGATAGTGCCACAAGTGAAGGAAGCCACTGCCCCTCCCAAAACTGAAGCCAAAGCAAAGGCATTAAGGGCCAAGAAGGCGTTCCTGAAGGGCATCCATAACAAAAAAAGGAATCCACATGTCACCTAAGGTGCCAAGACTCTGAAGGGCAGCTCTTTCCCCCTGGAAAAGCACCCCCAGAAGAAAAAAGCTTGAACACTATGCCACTGTCAAGGTTCCCCTGACCACCGAGTCAGCCATGAAGATGAAGGTACCAATACATGTGTTTATTGTGGATGTTAAGGCCAATAAGCACCCAACCAAACAAACTGTAAAGAGGCTCTTTAACACTGATGCGGCCACTGTCAATCCTCTGATGAGGCCTGATGGAGAGAAGGAGGCCTATGTTCAATCTGCGCCCGACTATGATGCTTTGGATGTTGCAAACAAAATTGGATCATCTAAACGGAGTCCAGCTGGCTAATTCTAAATACAAATTTCTCTCTCACACACATACAATTTTACTCGCACATGATTATCAATTATAAGGTTGGGTAATTCTGCACCACTTTTGGAACTGGCACAAATATGGATGATTTCTGAGAGCTCTGGTGGCCTACTGGCAAGAAACTGCACTGCAATCCTGAAGGCATGAGGTTAGCATCCACCAGCTGCTACAGAGAAAAAGGATGGGCAATCTTCCCTTGCAATTGACTGCTTCTGAAAACATGCTAGAGGGTCATCCATCTATAGGTCAGTTCCGACTTGATGGTTCTCAACAACAAATGAATGTTTTTCAGCCATGTGGCCAACTCTTCCAAGTATCTAGGCAACAGCACATCCAGGGCTGCATCATTTGGTGAAATATCTTAATTGGTACTGTGTCAATGACTAGAGACTTATTTTTTGCTAATGCTTTGAGTGAAGCCAACTTCACTCAAGCCTACTTCTTCCTTTAGTATCCCTAGTTCTTGAACATGCATTACTTATTTCAATGGTTCTGTGTTGACCAGTTTTTGGTACAGCGATCTTGTGTAGTTTTTACATCTTCTTTTGAGAATTCCTGTCACTCAACATTTTGCTCATAAAACTCCTCAGGATTCCAACTCAAGGTTGAATGTTTTCTTCAGTTCTTTTTCTTTAAGAAGTATGGAGTATGTTTTCTGACTCCAGGATTTGCATACTTTATTACAATACTTCTGTTTTGGTCTTTTCAACGACCATTTGCCTCCTTCATATGATATTCTTCCAACAACCTGCCTGGTTTTTGTTAGCACTCAGTGCATCAAATCTGTTTTTATGTTTAAATTCAAGCAGGATAATCTCAAGAGTTGTACTTTCTCTCTAGTAAACAATTTTTTTTCAGCTTCAGTTTCAACTTGCAATTGAACTGATGGTCTGTTCCACAGTTGGTCCCTGGGTTTGCCCTGATAATGACCTTCAGTTCCCAACTCTCAGTCCTTTTGTTTCTCACTTTTGCATTTCAATCATTTAATATTAATGCTTTCTTTAAAGTTAATTACAGCATGCCTTTATTCTTTAACAATTAAACAAAACCCCAAACAAAACATACTCTTAATTTGTCCTGCAAAAGTTAATAAAAATTGGTGACTATTTTTCTCAGCTGTAACTCTCACGTCCAAGAAGGAAGAATCCAGTCCTCAGTGAAAAAGCAATGTATTCTTGTTTTGTGGTTTTGTTTTTTTTTTAAGAACACCTTCAATTTTTATACTTTCTTTACAGGTTACCTAGACAACGTTTAAGAAAACTAAGGGAAGTTAGTTAACTGTCACAAGTGGAGGCCAGGCAGTAGCATGGTCCATTGTCCTCAGAGTCTTGGTTTGCAGGATCTGACTACACTGCTGGGGTCTCTGCTCACACTCACTGGGATCTATTCTCAGCATATTTTAGTTCACAGGTCGCTTTGCCTGTATTTCTTTGTAAACTTCTCAGCGTTCCTGCTGAATTTTTTTTCTCTCTTTTAGAGTGTGGGTGGGTGTTCACGCTAGGAGTCGTTCATTAGTGAACTGGATTACTTGGTTGGTTTTGGTGGCTGGAGAGAGACCTGTCCCTTTTGGAGGTTTAAATGTGTACTCTGCTGCAAAAATGATTTTGATTGGGAAGACTCCTTATCATATCAAGGAATGCCAGGAATAAGCTCTTGCCAGGTCAGTAAATTAGCTTCAACTTGGATGTTAGAAAGTTTTTCATTGCATGTTCAAGTTCCTTCATAAGCCTCCTACTGGCTGCCACCTTGGATCTGGTACTGCCACTATCCCCTATTAGTGTATTCTAACTGTACATTTACTCACTTTTCATAGTGGGGAAGCTGGTACTATTTCAAGTTTTTACCTTTGACTTCAGCTGATCCTCCAGTGGGTTTTTAAGACAGTGAATCACACAGGAGGAAACTGCCCATCTTTCTCCTATGGAGCAGTTTGCCGATTCAAACCATTAACCTTTGCACAGTCAGTGGGATTTCTTATACCTATGCCACCAGTGCTTCTTTGAATGCAACATCATCCCAACTCAAAGTTTCATTCCTAGCATAGGAGACCCTGATCTTCTGATCTGAAATGGCTGATTCAAATTCATACGCAGATTTCACACACTACATTTTATTTCTGATAACCAGGCTTATACTGTGTCCATTTCATGTTCCAGTTGTTAACAGATGGTTGCAGTGGTTTTCTCTCATTTTGAGTGGTGTCACAGGAACAAATAAAGGTCCTTCATTGGCCGACTTTGATGATACAGCTCTTTCCCTGTGTTCTGAGTGCCTTTCAACCCGAGGGGCTCATCTTCCAGTGCTCTATCAGATAATGCTGTTGCTATTCATAGGGTTTTCAAAGATTCATTATTTTGAAAGTCGTTATATAGCCAGTCTTGCTTACTAATCTGCTGGAATAAAAGAGATGAGCAACTTAAAAGAAATAAAATCTTAACTTCCTAATTACAAATATCCTGTATGCTATAGGTGCTGCAAAGTCCTTGGTTATTTTAAGCAGTTCAAGAATGGCTGGTAATATGAATGTTGGTGGTTCAAAACTCACCTCCCTCTAGTACAGAAAGAGAGGCCTGATAAAGTACTACTATAAAAATGACAATGAAAACTTTCTGGAGTAGTTCTACTCTGAAACACATGGAGACTCCTTCTAAGTTAAAACTGACTCAAGTACAGTGGGTTGGACTGTGATGATACAAGTTAATGGGTAAGGCTGTGATTCAATTAACCAAGCAAAACCCCTCATAATAACAGAACAACTTATACAAACAGGCACCAGCCATTATTTATGGAGTGCTGTATTAAAGTGTTATCAACTTATTTGTGGCAGGTTTAGTCCAGTAGATGGTTTGAAAATCTTAATTGTGTGACACTGTCCCACACTTAAATCCCCCTGTACATTAATTACTGACGTACAGTAACACCCACACAAAGTTCACAAATGTTGCTGAGCCTGTACCGTCTTCACTAAGAGCCAATGAAATCACAGATGCAAAATCCATAATCAGAATTACTTTTACCTTTCCCGTGGCCGTCGTTCTAGTTTTGGTTCATCCAGCTGACGCTGTAATTTCTCCTGTTCCTTTTGTAGCCTCTCTTCTACTTCTCGCTCTCTAGCAGCTGTGTCAACAGGCTTTGCTCCTCCAAAGATAGAAGCTGCTCGACTGGACTGGGAGGTGCTGGCGGAGGAATCATCTTCCTTAGGAGCACTCCGAGGCTTTAGATTCAGTTTAGGTCTTTGAGGGGGACCTAAGTGATATTAAATGAAGTAAGTTTATCAAATCATCAAAAATGAGCTGAGCAACTCAGATTTCCAGATAGTGCTCTTACGAAATGCTTTATCAGAATCAGGTTAGTGGCATACATAACCAATGCAGCTAAGGGAGATCATTTAAAAATTATGAATGGAAATTTTAACTTTCACATAAAAAAAGAGGTAAAAGGGAGAGGTAAGATCAACAGAAAAAAAATGGTATGGCTCGGGGGGAAGAAAAAAGGTGTGCAGGTAATAGACAAAAGGTAGGATAAGAGGACAAGGTCAGGAGTCAAGATGGCTCACATCTGAGCCATAACTTAGTTGTACATAATCCACATAGAATAGAAGGTCCCAAGATTGTACAGGTACTTAGCTCATTACTGGTATAAAAGGAGAACAAACACAAGTTATTGTATTTGCTTTCTTGTTTGAGAAAATAGGGAATATGGGTTTTGTCTCTCCACCACCTTTTTAATTCAAGATCTGTAGCACCCCTCCAGGAAAGAGGGACCATGATGAGGTCTCTCCAAGGTCTGGAGGGGATCTCTTCTCTCTCTCCCCATTACGAAAGTCACACTTGTTAAGGCAGGTGTGACTCTGCAGAGCTGGGAGAGTAACTTGTGTTTTTATGAATTTTCAATTTTTTAAAGAAATCAAATGAGAAACATGAACATGTTTTCTGCGTTCATCTGAGGAAAGAAGTCATAAAATTTTAATGTGGTTGATCAGTATTTTATTAGTTGTTAAGACAGAGAACTTTTGGACATCATTAAAGTAAAAACACAAGTTGTGGTCCCTTAATATATGACAGGTCATCAACTGCATCAATGTCTGTTTTACATACATACATACATACATACATACACTGACATCTATTACTTATGGTATATCAAATGTGGTAAAATGGCCTTGAAATCAGCAAAACTTGTTTTCAACACAATGCCAATTAATGGTTATGAGCCTTTGTATCCAATCTGATTCTCATTTCTTTCTCTTGAAAATGAAGCTAAACCAACCACCTTGTCAAATATTAAAACAAGCTCACACTACAACTTATAGTTTGGTGCCCATTTGTGGAGTTTTCCAATCTGATCTCTCAGCGGTCTGTTCCATAGTAAGATAAAGAAGATTATTACCTCGATCATCACGCCTATAGTCATCTCGAGAGTAATCATCTCTGGAGCCCCACGACCGATCATCTCGTCTGTCATATCGGTCTTCATAGCGGTCTCCACCTCCTCGGTAGTCATCATCCCTTCGGTACCCACTACCAAATGCTCTTCTGCCACTGCCTATCCTGGAGTCATAACCTGTAAAAATACCCCACATTACATCCACAAAACCGGAAGGAATTAAAGGGCAAAAGGAGAATTCTTGGGGAGTAGGGAGACTAGAGAAAGAACATATATTAACTTCTAAGTGTTTTATAATCACCTCTGTCATAATCTCTGCTGCCTCGGTCATCGTATCGATCCCGGCCTCCATATCGATCCATATCTCGCCGGGGGCCATCACGATACCCATCACGGTACCCATCACGATACCGGTCTGAATCATAACGATCACGATACTCTAAAAGAAAAAAAAATACAACAGCCATTAGATTCAGTAATTCTAATGTTCAATTTATTAAAATAAATTGCACTGTTTCCAGAGTGAAAGACTGTATATAAAATTAAGATATATAAGTATATGATTTCATAGGGGAAAAGCCCCTTCAAACAAATTCCCAGTAATTCCATTTAGAAGAACAAAATAAAAAAAATCTCATAATGAATTTATAGGGTTAAGTCTTGACCTTTAAGGGAGCTCTGGTGGCCTCGTGGCAAGAAGCTGCACTGCAATCCCAAAGGTAGCTGCTGTTATGTGCAGTCGAGTCATTTGTGACTCATAGCGACCCTATGTACAACAGCCGTAAACCCTGCTCTATCCTCTGCCAATCGCATTGCCTCTGACACACCCATCCCGATTACCCCAGTCACTGAATCAATCCACCTCAGAGAGGGTCTTCCCTTCCTGCGCTGTCCCTCCACCCTCCCAAGCATGATGTCCCTCTCCAAGGACCTGTCCCTCCTTACAACATGTCCAAAGTATATCAGACGAAGCCCCAGAATCCTTGCTTCCAAGGAGCAGCCTGGTTTAACACTCTCCAGGATGAATCTGTTTGTTTTCCTAGCAGTCCATGGCACATTCAATACTCTTCTCCAGCACCACAGCTCAAA